ACGGGCCACACTTATGTGCAGTGGTTGGTCACAATATTAGGTACTGTAAGCTGGTCTTTAACTTTAACTCTAGTTAAGAGCCGAATGCTTTGCTTCTAAGTGCTCATTAGTCGTACCTTGGCTATCGATTGAACCCTAAGAAACAATGGGCATTACCTATACAGTAAAACACAATTACTACAAAATGCAATTCTGCACTTACGCTAGAAATAACATAAAATTGTGTAACCAATCATTGAAATCAGGAGTGTCTTCTACAAACAAAGACGATGGAAAGAAAAAAAAGAAACATTTATTTTATTGTATTACAATATGACATCAGTAATGATATGATGCATGATACGTTCATTTTATTTGGCAGTTGCAACGACGCTTTTGAACTATGGACTGCAAAACGGTTGGATGTCACCCATGAAGAAAGTCCTACAGTCTAACGACTCTCCAACTGGGGTACCCTTAACTGACAGTGAAGTGTCATGGATCGCCAGTACTATGCCTATAACGGCTGTGTTCGGTGTATCGATGTACGCGTACATAGCAGACGCGTATGGGAGGAAAATAGGCGTTATCACCATGGTGATACCACAGGCGGTGAGATCCTTTTTACTCATAAAAGAATTTATAAGATGTTAAAGAAATTGCTGCTTCTGAAGCGTAAACGCATTTATATTCAGGAGCTCATATCTTTACAAAAACCTTTTTTTATTAATATGGTCTGAAAAATTCCACTACGTGTAAATTTACACCTAGAAAAGTAACACATTCTTACACGTGTTAACAATTTAATGGATTCATGCATGTATGTAAAGCATTTACCGAATTCAGTGAGTCAAATACTGGTTGAATATAAATGAAAAAGGTTTTTTAATATTCAAATGCTTTATCGCCTGAAAACAGATTTTCTATTACAGATATGTTGGATAATAACTTTGCTGTCTACCCACACAGCAGTACTTATAGTGGCGAGGATATTTGCCGGCTTGCCTGCTGGTGGGTGTTTCAACTTGGTGCCAATGTATATCAAAGAAATAAGCCAGGACAACATTAGAGGAACACTAGTGGCTCTCTCCATGATGTCGCAGAGCATTGGCTTGCTCGTCATGTACGCTATTGGGAGCTACCTAAACTATTATGTCGTTCTTTGGATTGTTCTGTGCGTGCCTATCATATCCACAGTGCTATTGGTGGTTATAGCACCTGAGTCACCGGCTTTTCTAGTCAAGAAAGGAAAAACTGAGGTGAAATCTTTTGTCTACCCATATATGCACGATTACAGTAATTTTTAATTTCAAACACGTACAAGTTATACAATTTCTTATTACAGGACGCCGCTAGAACCATTGCTAAATTAAGAGGTTTAGATATCAACAGCAAAATTGTTCAAAATGAAATTGATTTCATGAAAAATGAAGAGCACCATTATCAAACCATGGAACATATTACATTTTGGTCTATTTGTAAGTACCTCTATCTATGTAACTATTATTTTATAGCCTTTAGAAAATACGAACGGTGATGCTGTATTTTGAGTTAACTTGTTTGTAATCAAAAACTTTTCATCACTATTCATTTATGCCACCACTGTAAGAGCGCGAACCTATTCACTTCGCTCACTGGCCGATACACCCACTGGGTAGGCCTAATGTTCGCATATTAGTCCCTTCATCGCTTGCATCGTGCGGTCCACACAGCTTATGACCGCAGTCTGTGGAGGAACACTATCTGTGGTCGCGATCCTCATCAGTGAGGGAACGAGGAAGAAGAAATCGCTTTTTACGACACCCACTGATGAGCTTGAATTGTTCTTTTCTACTATATCTTAACTAGCTTTCCGCCCGCGGCTTCGCCCGCGTGGAATTTTGTCTGTCACAGAAAAAATTTATCGCGCGCGTCCCTGTTTCAAAAACCGGGATAAAAACTATCCTATGTTCTTTCCCGGGACTCTAACTATCTCTATGCCAAATTTCATCAAAATCGGTTGCGAGGTTTAAGCGGGAAAGCGTAACAGACAGACAGACAGACAGAGTTACTTTCGCATTTATAATATTAGTTGGGATCGCATGGGTGTTATTATATTTCAGTTAAAAACAAAGCTTGGCGTCGCGGCTTTATCTTATGCATGCTGATCATGACTGCATTAGACTTGAACGGTGCCATGAGCGTGATGACGTACGCCTGGAGCATCATGACGCGCTCCGGCGTCACCGTCAACCCTGAGCTACAGACCCTGAGCGTGCCTATCGTCATGATCTTGGGCTCCTTCGTGGCTATCACGTTTGTGGAGAGATTTGGAAGAAAGGTAGGCACTATGATTGATTTAATTTACCAATATAGGTATAAAACTTTACAATTTCATGAGAAAACTTACCGTCCATTGTTCGTCCTCTGTCAAAAGTCAAGTCAAGAAAAACGTCGTCCCGTTTATCGTCAGCCAGTCCTTGTCTATGTCTTTGACCATGCAGGCTGGACGCCGCGACAACGATAATAATACTACTGTGGCATCTTGTGTAATGGAAATAAGTTGTGTAAAAGTACGTACTCACATTTTGCAGCCTATAGCTAACATAATCTAAATTATTATTTAGATTGGGATAGGTACTCTTTGTGCTAATTAGGCACACGAAGAGTTAAAGCGATAGATGACTCTGACACCATGGCAGTTGTTAAAATATTGTCTAGCCATATTACAATCTTTAAATAGTTTAGCTTTAGATTTCGAATGATGTATTGAATATATTTTATCCATACATTTCCGGGACTTTTTATAGCCTCTGCTGAGTGGAGCGTTCGCTGTGACGATGGTGGCGTGGCTGTGCCTAGGGATCGTCCACATCCTGCAGGAAAACGGCGTGGCCATCCCGGGATGGGTGGCCGTCGTGAGCATCGTGGTCTCTGTATGGGCGTACGCTGCCGGCATATTGCCCGTGACTTATATTCTCTTGGCCGAGATGTTTAATTTTCAAGTAAGTATTTCATGTCATTCAGACCGGACTGTCTATTGCCCCAGAGTATCCAGGGTCGGTCCCCGCAAAATATGTACGAGTGAGTACATCTTCGTATCAGTGTAGAGAATGGGCAGCAGCGCTCTCTGAAAAACATCAATCTTTTAAACTGCGATCTCCAACCCGCCTGCCTAGCGTGGAGATTATGGCAAAACCCTCCACTATAGTGGAGGAGGCTCATAGTCCAGCAGTGGACTGTAAAGGGCTGTTGATGAGTACATCTTCACAATACATTTAACAGATTTATTTCTTAGTAGAGTGTTTTGTTATGGATTCAGTGGATGTTTACAGATCCGTGTTAAATGTTACAAGGATTTATTAAAATACAGGTTTCTCCTAGTTCCGTTTCAGTCAGTTCAGTTCTCCTAGTGTGACATCCTTAAATCAATGTATCATGTAAACGAAAGGGAATCTGTTGGTTTGTTACTTTGTATATTAATAATGGCCTATTGTTCCAGGTTCGCGCGAAGCTGATCGGCTGCATAGTGACGTACGGGTGGTTCACATCGGCAGTGCAGCTGGCGGTATACGATCCTATCTCCAACGCCTTCGGGGCCCACACGATGTTCTTCATCTTCGCTGCCATCAACCTGGCCGGTGCCCTCGTAGTGTTGATATTCGTGCCCGAAACGATGGGCAAGAGCGTCGAGGAGATCGAGAAAATTCTGTTAGGAAACCGAAAATAAATTTCAATGAAATATGAGTTTTTAATTTTAGCAACTATCCAAGTAATTTGAATGCGACGGTAACTCTGTTTGTGACCTTCTAACTACTGAACCTGATAGTTTTCTTACTATCGAGATAAACTTAAAGAGGGTGAAAAGGGAGATTTTTGTGTGGAAAATCAATCACTTCTCATGTTGGCGACATAAAAACTCATTACTTTAATTTTCGTAATAATAGTGTGGTGTTGCTAAGCGGGCGAAGGCGTGGCCAGTACGCGTGGGCAGTTAGGTAATAGGTAGAGAATGCCGTCCGGCATTAAGTCCGCCACAGTGCATTGTATTTATGTGTGTGCTGAAGTTTTAAATAAATAAATAGTCTTATAGTACGTTCAACCACACGATTTTATTTAAATTCGCAACTGGTAACTGTAAAAGATAATTATGGCACTATCTATCATTACAAGAAAACAAATTAATTTTAAGATACAATGCAAAAACTGGTTTAAGTAATTTTACTTAGGTAATATTTATTTAATAGGTAATTTACCAATTAGTACCGTTTTATTTGAAAATGAGTCAGAAAACGATACCTACAACAGCTATTTAAAGAGTTGTTGGAGATAGAAATATATAGTCAATTTGGAACGATATAAAACAAAAGAACCATGTTATGGGTAATGAAATACGATGTGTTTTATATTCTGTAATATATTTTCAGTAATTTAATGCATCAGAATGTTTTACTCTAGAAGCACGTGTAAAGTAAGTGTACCGTTAGTAATTTTCGATGGCATCATTATTTTAAATAAAATGCAAAGAAAATAGGTATGCTCGTTATGTTGTAACACGACGTTGCCACGTTTTCACGTGTCTATGCACGATAAATACTTATTTTTTTAAAAACGATTAAAAGTAGATAATTAAAAATATATATAAAAATATAACGTAATATTACACTGATACAATTTCCTTATTTCCGAAGTTTAATAAGAATGTTACCAGAAACAAGACAATATTTTGTTAATAAACATTCGATTAATAATAATAGCTGGTTAACAAGGATAACAAATGGTCGTTTTTATCAGTGGATATTGGCATTTCTGTGTAAGTGAAATAATCAGTTCTAATATTTTTTAAGAAAAGCTGGAATTTCTTCACACCATACAAGAAGGCTCTGAACGTACGTAACTGCACTGCCGAGGTCAGCCCGATTATGATTAAAAAACGAAATTTTGCCCATGGGCATCATTTAAGTGGGACACTTCCAAGACGTATTATGCCGTTTCTTCCCTTTTTGTTATAATCTAAGGTCGTTAAAGGTGTCAGTTCGACTATTATTCACTGATCCGTTGTCAGCCTATGCTGTCACGGAGAAAGAATGAAAAAAGATATGGGTCTTCCTTAACGACCGTCAGATCTATATATCGTTTAAGCATGCTTATGTTCGTTTCAGGTTCATCTGTATTCCTAGAATATGGCTTTCATGTGGGCTGGGTGTCGCCTATGAAGAAGGTATTACAGTCAGACGCATCTCCCGTTGGCGTTCCTTTGACAGATGTTGAAATATCATTTGTAGCTTGCACGTTGACATTAGCGGGTGTCGTCGGGGTGCCGATATGTACGTACATTGCTGAAGTCTACGGTAGAAAAGTTGCGGTTGTAACTATAATGTTATTGTACGCGGTAAGCAATCAAAGATAGATCCTAATAAATTACAATTTTTACAACATTAATCACAAATATTAAATTCCTTTAGGTGTCCTGGAATTTGAAATTGTTAGCAACGCACAATGCAGTCCTCATGGGAGCGAGAATAATCGGAGGTGTGTCTCTAGGAGGGAGTTTCATTGTGGTTCCGATGTATATCAGAGAAATAAGCCAAGATAGTTTAAGGGGCACGCTGGTGTCACTTGCCTTGTCGTCTCAGCATGTCGGCGTACTGGCCATGTATGCCATGGGAAGCTATCTGAGTTATAACTGTACCCTGTGGATTGCTCTTTGCATCTCCATCGTTGCAATAAGTTGTATGCCTATTGCACCAGAATCTCCAGCGTTCCTTGTAAAAATTGAAAAGTTTGAAGTAAGTTTTTCAATGTATTCAATCGACGTGACTCTATTTCTGTATTTTTTAAACTTAAGTGGGTTTTAATTTAATATTTGTATTTTATATTTTTTGCATCAGGAAGCGAAACAAGTGCTAGCAAATCTGAGAGGATTGCAAATTGATGACGTTATTATACAAAACGAAATAAACTATCTTGAAAACGTAGATTCAAATCATAAAACAGATCACAAAATGACCTTAGCTACGATATGTAAGTATTTTAAAACAATTATTTCCCAAATTCCATAATGTGTACATTACTTGTCGTAGGTATATAAGGAATTGTATTTTTTTTTGCAGTCAGGAACAAATCATGGCGCCGTGGGTATTTTCTATGTCAGATCTTATTTTGTTGCATACCATTTCACGGTGCATTTGCAATAATGACGTATGCGACGAGTATCATGACGCAAGTTGGTGTCTCCGTCAATCCAGAACTGCAAAGTCTTTTAGTGCCGCTTTGTCTGTTATGTGGTTCAGTTGCACCGATACTTTTTGTGGACAGGACAGGAAGAAAGGTAAAATTACTTCCTAATGCTGGAAGTCCGTTTCAAAAAATATTTCAACCTACTAGGTAGTTCTAACTCTATAAGTACAAATGTTTATAGTGCTACTTGAAATCAAATCAAAATTCGTTTATTTGTGGAACGTACGTAAATTACATATTACAGGTGTTAAATGAAGTGGTGGAAAATCTATATTTTGTTGGATTTTCAGCCGCTGCTTATAGGGGCATTTTCAGTGAGCGCGGTGTCACTTAGCTGCCTGGCGTCGGCGCTGCTGGTGCAGCGGAGCGGTGTAGTGGTGCCGAGCTGGGTGCCCGTGGTGACGATCGCGGCTGCGGTCTTCAGCTACTCAGCGGGAGTGGTGCCGATACCCAATATCATTATTAACGACATGTTCCAATTTCAAGTAAGAATTCATGAGTAATACCTAATCTTCGGCCTGATAATTTTGATTTCTGATTCATAAATTTCTATCAAGTGAGATGCAGGTGTTAAATGAGTCAGTTAAAATTAACAAGAACTCAAGATGCAATCTTAGGCTGGGTTGCACCATCTTACTTTAACTTTGACAAACGTCAAAATTCTTTCAAGCTCCATACAAAAAACACCGGTTATCGTTAAAGTTACGGTCAAAGTTAAGTGGTGCAACTCAGCCTTAGACATAATTCAGAGTTAGTGGACCCTCAATAAAAATGTGAAAAAAAAAGATTGGTCTAAAATCTAAATTTTGTACAAAAACTCGATGGCCCGCATTCGGGAAACCATTTTCACAACATTGGACGTTTTTTTAGTTTTGAACGTACTGTTANCAGAGGCTCATAACAGTACGCTTTATTACTTACGCTGATTGTCAATTTTCATCAGTTACTTACCGAGTTTTGAAATAATTAAGATAATTGAAATTCAGTATCAAATCATATTTATTTTTTCAGGTGCGTGGAAAGATAATTGGCCTCATCCTCATGGTGTACTGGGGCTGCACATCCCTGCAAGTAGTCTTCTTTGAGCTGATATCCAGCGCGCTAGGGCTCGACTCTGTGTTCTTCATGTCAGCTGCGATCAACATTTTCGGCGCGCTGCTTGTACTAATATTCATTCCAGAGACCAAAGGCAAGACTACAGAACAGATAGAAGACATTCTGGCTGGCAAAAGAAGTGGCAATACCCTTGAAACTACCAGCTCATGAAATAAGTGATCGTTCCCCTGAAAAATTGCAGTCATGAAACTCATCAACAACATCATCAAGCTCTTACAGTACTTCAAAAAGTGATATTGAAAATGAGAGTTTTTCTCTCACATACTAACACCCTGACGAATAAAAATTATAATTAAATACTCGTTGAACAGTGTTTCAAAATGACGTTTAGTATAAAATATAAATTATTTTTAAAACTTTGTAACTTTTTGTTAGTAAGGGGGTGTGTGCAAACATCACAAATTAGTGTGAATAAATTAATGATTAACTTTTTTAAGACAGTATTATTAATATTAGTAATTAATATTCTTTGTTTTATAAATATACGAATGCAAACTGACTACCTAACAGACTTTTATTATGTAAGTAGTAATACAATTTGTTATTAGATAGGTAGGTATATTTAAACGCGATTTTGTCTCGATAGATTGTGATAAAAAGTAACTAAGTAGGCCAAACTTATTAAAAAGCTTTTAATTGTGTTAGTCTGGAGTTTAAGCTTCAACAAACCACAACAGCTTCTGTGTAGGTAATAAAATATTTTTTGCTTGAAAGAATATCTAACAAACATCTATCTATACTCGCCAACTTTGTGTTTTAATTTGTTTGGTTTTACGTCGATTACTTCCAATTTTTACTTTCTAATGAATATTTTTCAAATTCATGTTTAATGTCTTTGAATAATAATATCTCCAATGACAAAAGACAGCTGAGGTGTACCTACCTACCTTATTATACATTCTCTAAATTGTAATAATCTAAGTAGATTAGAAAAAGAAAGAGAATTTTCTTACTTTTCCATTGGAGGTTTCCGGCTATTGGGACCGCAATTAACTGGAACCGCGGTCCCAGTCGCTGGATCCATAAAAATTTAATATTTTTCTTCCAGCGACTAGGACCACTTATAGATAACTTAAATATACAGTGTGTCCGGGCATGTAGTGATCAAACTTTAAGGGCGTAATCTATGGACAATTTTATCGATGAAAATACTTCAAATTTGGGGCTTGACCCATTTCTCGAAAAATTACATCGATTTAAGTTTTTAATTTTTAGTTTACACCTCTACTTTAAAAAACAAGCGAAAGCGTGGGTATCTTAAAAACAATAGGCAAATATTTTATATCATGCGATAGCCNGAGGCTCATAACATTTGGTGGCAGCGCAAAGGGATTCAAAAAGAGTCCCCGGTCAACGTCTACAGTTCAATTTCAAAACCAAGTTAAATCTATAAATCCAGTCTCGACGCGTGTGTGTGTGCCGTGTTGTGTGTAAGCGCCGACTCCACTGTGTGGACCTCCAATAATCCAATACACTAATTATATTTATAATACTCACATCTATTGAATACTTTAACGTAGCGTTCACACTAATTAGGCATAGGTAGGTACTCCGTCCTACTTTATGTAGTACAGATAACGACACAATAAGTTAAACACCGTGGTATCATATGTAGCTGTAATAAAAGCGTTTTCGCTACTTAAATGTGTAATTAGAGATGCTATTGACTGTACAATACGTGTACATAATACCAAATAACATTTTTATTTTGTTTCGCGCCTACAAGTTAACCACGTGCACGCGTCTTGTTCCAAATGTTTGAGAACAATGTTACCGAAACTGAGAAGATATGTTGTTAACAATATTCGTGGTACGAGTGAAAAATGGCCATACTCATTTTCAATGGGCACTCGCATTTCTGTATAAGTAAAATAATCTGTTTAATTCTGTCGTACGCAGTCGATCATTATACCTAATCGTGACTACCCGATCATAAAACGCTACGAAAACATCCGCGTGTAGTTATTTTCCACATTTCCAGCATGTTACCTATTGGATTACTAGATAATAATGTGTCCCTATTCATCAATTTCAGGTGCGTCTGTATTCCTAGAATATGGCTTAGGTACACGTAGGCTGGGTTTCACCTATGAAGAAATTCTTACAGTCCGATGAGTCTCCGATTGGCGCTGCTTTGACAGATGTTGAAGTATCGTTCATAGCTTGCACGTCAACCTTAGCGGGTGCCGTCGGGGTGCCTTTATATACGTATATTGCAGAAGTCTATGGTAGAAAAGTTGCTGTCATAATCATTAAGTCCACGTACGCGGTAAGAATTTAAGTATTAGAGCTTTATACATAAGGTTTTACACTTTGTGATACTACATATAAAATATTCTTTTAGGTGTCCTGGATATTGAAATTATTAGCAACGCACAAAGCAGTCCTTATAGCCGCAAGGATATTCGGAGGCGTCTCTTTGGGCGGAAGTTTTATTGTGATTCCGATGTATATTAGAGAAATAAGCCAAGATAGTTTAAGAGGATCGCTAATGTCACTTGCCTTGTCGTTTCAACATGTCGGCGTACTGGCCGTATACGCTATGGGAAGCTACCTGGGCTACCATATTACTTTATGGATAGCGCTTTGTGTATCTATTATAGTGTTATGTTGTACGCCTATAGCACCAGAAACTCCAGTGTTCCTTGTAAAAAAAGGAAAACTTGAAGTAAGTTTCTTTTCCACGTCCTTGGTTAAAAAATAATATATTTTTTTTATCCAAGTAATGTTTTCATTATAATAAATGTTCGTGTGGTCTCAGAATGTAATAAATGAGAGGAATGGAAGGAAAGACTTTGGAGTTAGTATGGGTACAGAACCCTCAGAACAAGAATACGACTCTCACTTAACTGATCTCCAATAAAAAGTTATTTTGTAATGTAAAAATATTCACCAGGAAGCACACAAAGTTCTAGCAACTCTGAGAGGATTGAGTGTTGATGATGTAATTATACAAAATGAAATGAACTACATGCAAAACGAACAGATATTTTACGAAACTGAAAAGAAATTGACTTTGGTTGCGATATGTAAGTACATTAGTCCTATATTAATTAAATCAATCGACTTTTTCTAAAAGTACCTAATCTTAAAATTTTTCAGTGAAAAGCAAATCGTGGCGCCGTGGGTATTTATTATGTCTAAGCATATTCTGCTGTCAGGCATTCCACGGTGCTTTTGCAATAATGACGTACGCGGCGAGCATCATAACGAAGGCCGGTTTCTCCATCAATCCAGAACTACAGAGCCTGATAGTACCAGTTTCCATGATATGTGGTTCGGTTGTACCCATAGATCTTGTAGAAAAGACAGGAAGAAAGGTAGTTAATATCTTAACGTATTTAAAATGTATTTATCGCTTTTTTAGCTTTTCTTTTTATGGCTGCGTCAGAGAATTGTGTTATGTTGGAGAAGAATATAGGAGTTTGTTCCTATATCCTACTTAAAATCTTCGCCAAGCCAAGGTGAAATGTTTAAATACTAATTGGAAGATTTTAAGTAGGATGTAATCTACTAAGGTTACTTTTACAACCAAGAAGGATATTTACATTCCTTGTGTTGTTTATAGCAGGAAATATTGGTAATATTGTGGTGCGGTTTCAGCCACTGCTTATAGGGGCATTTTCGGTGAGCGCGGTGTCACTTAGCTGCCTGGCGTCGGCGCTGCTGGTGCAGTGGAGCGGGGCGACGGTCCCGAGCTGGGTACTCGTGGTGACTATTGCGACTGCAGTCTTCAGCTACACAGCAGGAGTGGTGCCGATAGTCAATATTATCATTTTGAATGACATGTTTAAATTTCAAGTAAGAATTAAATCCTAATGAAGCTAATTTACTGTAAATAGGTACGAGTATCTACTTACAATAGATATTGTGAAAAAGTCTTCTCCATACAATATGCTTATTATAACTTGTATGAAAATCTTATGTGGTGACCTTGTCAACAGTAGTTAGTTCAAGCGAAATCTGAAAATATAATAATAGCTGTATTATGTATTGTTAAGTATCGGTAAAATACATAAATTATTTACATATTTTAACTTACTTATAAGACGTAATATAGGTTACTTATTTTCCAGGTACGTGGAAAGTTGATTGGCCTCATTCACATGTTCATCTGGAACTGCACGTTCCTCCAAGTGATATTCTTCGAGCTGATATTGAGCGCTCTAGGGCTCTACTCTGTGTTCTTCATGTCAGCATCGGTTAATGTTCTTGGAGCGCTACTTGTGTTCTTCCTCATTCCCGAGACTAAAGGCAAAACTACAGAAGAAATAGAGGACATTCTGGCTGGAAACAAAAGTGCTACTCCTGAAACTGCTTTTTTTTTTCAAGCAAGAGCTGAAAATCAGTGTTCTGCTCATTTCAGAGCAGTGTCTACACTGAGCTCTCTGCTTTTTTGCATCGCTGCGGCACACTTATACCTTAGCGCGCAGGATTTTCTTTCTTTCTCTTTGTAATGTACTATATCTTTCCTGCTACTCCTGTGTTTATTAATCTTACTTTTTGCTTCTTGTGTGTCAATGTGTTTTGCAAATAAACCATTTATCTATCTATCTAAACTACCAGGTCCTGAAATAAAAGTGGTCGTTCCCTTGAAACTTCCAGCTCACGAACTTATTACACTACTTCTTAAGGAGTGTTCGTGCGTATTTTGTTAAAGAATATACACATGAAATATGAATTACTCAGTTATAAGGTGTAAGTCCATGCCTATCAGGCGATAAATTATTGTTGCAAAGTCGCATCTATTGGAATTAATTAACAGCTACAGTGCTTGCCTTGATGTGAAGTCGTCTATACATAATCTATTATCTCTTTAATATAATTATGTACCTACTTTTTAATGAGGAAATTAGTTTTATTGATTAAAGTAAGTGACATATCTTAATTGTATCAAAAACTGTGCGTGTTTAAGATCAAATACTTAGGTACAATATTTGTTGAAAACAATGTAATTTGCTGAATTGATTGGGTTTAGGGATTCGCACCTCAAAGTTAAAAAAGTAATGTAGGTATAGGACTTGTAAATTTATGCAAAGTTAATTCTTTTTTTTTAATCAAACATTATTTAACATTGAAAAATTACATTAGGATTCAGAAATATATATGATCTTTGCTTAACAGAAACCGATAGGCAGATGATAAAATTTAGGGTATGGAATCAGCACGCGAGTCCGACTCGCACTAGACCTATTGTTAACAATGACGCGCATAACGATCATAATTGAAGATACAAAGAATTCAAGAACAAACCTCATGTCAAACTATTGTTTTGCGACCATTTTAATACAGTACGAGTTTGCTTTGCAAAAATTCTGACCATCAAAATTAAATAAAGTACTACCTACTCGCAAAGACGTGCTGAGTACTTTTTTTTTCCGAAAACCTACCTTTCCTACCTGCTAGTAAAGAAATATGTAACACGTAGTTTCTTTTAATGTTTTTCTAGAGCTTATGCCAAAATATCTTGTGCCAACAATAGGTTTCCTAACATAACATCGTAGCAATATTCAATGCTACCGGACATGTTTTGCATAACAGGCAGTCCTGCTATGCCTATTGTTCTAGGTCAGACCCCTCTGCTATTCAGCCATGTTTGCGGCCCTCTTACCCTTATAAAGGGTTGTTGCACCTGAAACGTTCCCATCACGCGTCCTCGGGGTTCTTTACCTGCCTTCGAGTGGATGGCTTTATAGGGAGACACCAAGTTCCGATCACATACTGCTGTCGTCCTAATTGATGGGCCATAACCATAGTAGAGCTATCGAGATTTGTGTATATTTTAACTTTTCCAAATGTAATGAATTTCTATATCATACCAAGCAAAATTTGTTCAGAATTCGGGTTTTCAGACTTTTCAGACTTGATAAAGATTCCGATCCGACATTTCCCAACAAATGAATTAGAATTTGATCAATTTTTTTATTTCACATATTTATTGAGTTCGTCATCATACGTTCGTTCATTCGTTTCCATCTTTTTACGCAGTCCTTTTTTGTACAAAGGAGTTTTGACTAACGACGTTTCCATTTCAAACCTCGACGCAACCAACCCGTTTATTGTTCTGAAGTGGGAACACGCGTCTGTTGTTCCCATATTTTCACGTGACTGATAATTTTGTAATTCACGGGACATTGCCGTGAAAGGATTTAATTATTAACAACCTTATACGATAATAGTGCGTGTACCTCACACGGTGCGCTAATCGAAAGGTTAATCATCTGTGTTCCTATGTAGAATCGTAATCCAAAATACAAATATAATTTTGCTCAATGGAATACCTACTTCTAAGCTGTTAAGAAATACCCATTGTATGTGTGTTTCATACTCAGAATTCGTTTGAACGAACAGTCCTTTGACTCGAGACCAACTTGTAAGCAAAGGTGTTGATTTAATCGACTTCGATAGGTTTTCTTAAAGTCACCTTTAGATTGTACTTAGTAATAAAAAATACTTAAATAAAAACCTCCATCACTAGTTATGTAGCTAAGAGCGTAGTAACCTACTGAAAGACAAATCAAATGATGAAAAAAAAATAAGTCGTAAACCATATTTTATACAAAATTCAAGTTCTTTAATAGTGAAGGTTGCCTATCACCACTTCGGAATAACATGTCGGCTGGTGCTGCGAAGTAGTGGTGGGAGAAAGTCACCCCGTAAAGAAGTGGTAAGCCAAATATGCTTGCGTTACGAGTGGGCTCACCACAAATGTCCATTTAGGTAAGTAGGTATATTTATTTTGAATTTTGTTTTAATTGCCTGATTAATTTGTTGGAAGTTTAAATATAGTTTCGTTTGAATTAATTGAGAGAATGCGTACCTATACCTACAGAAACAACTCGATTCGAAACCAAAACAACTCGATCGAAGTGATTAGCCGTAGGTCGTGAACTTTAAGAAAATATTTTATATTTTTAGAGTTCAGAGTATATGTATAGGCCAATCACATCGCCAGAAAAACATAAAATATTCCAAGTTATAATTCCAAGGGGATCCAAGATTTCCGCTACCCGGCTTTTACTCCTAGGTACTTGAGATTTAACACTTGATGTCATTTAGTACCAACTTCGGAATTAAATGTACCTAGCTTACGTTTAAATCTATATATATAAAAATGAAACCCGTTTCGCGTTGTCACGGCATCACGTGTGAACGGCTGAACCGATTTCGATAATTCTTTTTTTTAAATGTTTGTGGAAGTCCAAGGATGGTTCTTACGGAAAAAAATATTAAGAAAATCTCTACGCTAAGGCGGTACGAAGTTCGCCGGGTCAGCTAGTAAGCCAATAAAATTACACTGAATGACTAACATCACTTGTTTAGTCTTGTTAAAACACTTAGGCTGAGTTGCACCACCCAACTTTGACGGTAATTACAACGACAACCGGTGTTTTTTGTATGGAGTTTGACAAATTTTTAACGTTTGTCAAAATTAAAGTAAAATGGTACAATGGTACAGCCTTAAACCATTTTTATAATTATTTCTCAGCAGTTCTTAGAAATGTACCTACTTATTGTAATGATGAACTTAAAAGTCAACAAACTTTAAAGAACAGAAAAATAATTTGTAGGCTGTCGATCTTTGATATCTCAAAAACAGTCAGAGGAGACCGAGCCATCAAAGCATAATTTCGCCCGCGGCGCGGTGTTCACGCGGCGCGTATAAACAGTGCAAAGGCGCGGCGACTTCGCGGCGGCGGCGCGGTAGCGGCGTCGTGTGCAGGAGCGCTAACAGTGCGTGTTTTTTATTTTAAGTCTCGAGCTAATAAATACGCGCTGTTGCGAGCTCCCTGTTAGAAGGTTTCCAAAAATCGGCAATGTCACAACTCTCCTCTGTTAAAACTCACCTTGGTCTCCCCTTTCGAGTACCAAGTTAATTAGTCAGCGTTGATCCGTCTCATTTCGGGGAAGCGATAGCTAATTTAGTTCCGTTTAATGACGCCACTGACACTCCTGATGGAAATATTTCTAGTGTTGGGAAAATAAACAGTCGCGGAAATATTCCGATGGAAAATAAGATTATACAGGATATTGACTCGATTTGTAGTGCCAAATATATTGAAGAGAATTGGAATTTCAATGAACGCAATAGCGTTTACAAATATTAATTTTAATCAATGGCCTGTATATTTTTAATGATTTCCCGGATTAACCGCATTTCCCCAAAATATTTACATTGATGATGTCGCGTGGAAAATTAATTTTCAACTCGTAATCAATTTGTTACGTAATATTTTTGTGGAGGCTGACTTACCTACCTATGCTGTTTTAAAAGCTTTGCCATGTCCTTCATTAGTTCCAGAGAGGTACTAATTGGAGCCCTGATGCTGCTATCCAGGTCAATACCTTGACAGGACGTTGCCCCTTACCTTAAATACTTTCATTTAAATGCGGGAACGATATTTGAAACGAATGGAATTTCAACTAGTGGTAGAGAAGTTTGGAATTTGATTTCGGCTTCGTGCGGTAAATAAAATTAATCATGATTCGCTGAAGCACCTAAGTCTGGACCTATCAGAAATATATTTCTACATAGAGAAAGCCTGTAGGTGTTTTTCTTCGACAATCTAATAACGTTAATTAATGTGAATTTCCGACCCACTCGTACTCTACTTTAATCTGTTTCCACTTTTGTGGGAGTGACTTGTTCAAAGATGTATATTAAAGTGTAAATGATCTGTAAATAAAAGAAATAAGTACTACTCAGTACTGCTTAAATAATGTTTTGTTTACCACTTATGCCGGAGATAAATTTTTGGGGAAATTACCTGCAAGAATTGATTTTTTTTTCTTATCAAGGATTACACAATTTTCTGTGTTATCATCTCGATGTGGGTTCCCTGAAAACTTTTGGCTTTTTTCCTTTGACAATTAATTGAATTTTTCATGATACCAAGAAACATTAATATCCGTTTACAAACAGGTGAAACCGACAAATAATAATGTCATTCTGTATAATTTAAAATGTGTTGTTGTGTACACAAATTAATGTAATCGTTGGTAAATTAAAATTACTATTTATGTATTGAGATGAGGGGTGTGTTTCATGAAGATACGAGATGACCAAAAGGTACATCGCCTCCTGTTTGGGCGAGCTTGATGACGGAAGTCAAAATTCTGGACTAAGTTAGCACAAGAGTAACGACCCTCTTGCCCCATTTCATCTAAACAAACAAGACTGTTATAAAACAAGAAATGATATTATTTACGCAGCTAAATTTTCATTATCCGACGATATAGATGAAAATGAAAAACAGTAAAGGTCAAAATATAACACTGAGGAGAGATTAATTAGAGAAATACCAGGATCGCGACAAACGCTGCAGTTCAAAGGTCCCGAACTAGGGCGGCCGCTGAACCCGTGATAGGCTGCTGATAGGGTTGCTACACAACACAGCATTCTATTGTATGAGTTGATTGAAGATTTGTATCAAACAAAATTCAAGCTGCCATGTTATCCATGTCTCAAAAACGGTATTAAAAAGTGGGGAAAACTTATTTTTTAGAGATTGAATGGGCATAATAAATTATAACACTTATCTACTATGTTACAACTTATTTTATTATGTTATTATTATTTTATTTATGTTACAACCTAAGTATTATTAAATAATTTACAACTATGCTCATGGTTCGCTGACATAAAGAAAGTATCATATTCATATATCATTTATTATCTATGATGATATACGATATTTCTAAAGCGGAATGCCATACTAAGCTCTGTCTTGACAGGACATGCCTTGTGACTCTACATGTTGTTAGAGAGATGTACTCCATCTGATTCGAATCGAATTAAGTTAGAATCGTATTAGCCGTAGTATTTATGAGACGTGACACCCCTAACCAGGTCTCACCTCCAACGGACAACGGGATAAGATGGTTTACCGATATTCGCAAGGGTAAATCCGTTTTGTTCGTTTATTTACATAGTTTCCCGTTTTAGGTTACATGCCGACCCTTCTCGTGGTGCGAATAAAAATAGTCTGGTGCGAATAAAATATATCAAAATACCCTATGAGATTACACATTTATATTGTGTTATTGGCATTATTCGGACTTTCGATCTAAGCAGATTTTGGGGTTTTTGGATCAAAATCGATAGTGGCATTGTCATCCTGAAAATATTCGTCGTTCTGTTT